AACATCTTCGTGTGGGGTTAGCAATATAATCACTGCACAAACTTGATGATACTGCTAATCATAGTTTATCAGTATAAGATGAGAATCGATAATAATTTTACAAGGAATACGTGTTTCCATCACCGAAGCACTATCATTTCCACCATCTTCGTTTGGTAGCAATACAAGTAACGGTCTTTACTGATCGAAAAACAACCTCTCTCTACAGCAATTCAGGTTCTTGTGCTTATGAAGTTCAAGTTTTCTGATAAGTTTAACATATATATATAGACTAGCATTTGGCTTTCGTATCACGGCTATTTCTGTTCCAACAATTGCATATATAAGAAGCAATGGCGATTGATTCCTACAGTGGGCAGCAGGTCAGTGGTGTGCTCGTGGTGGAGCTGTCAAGTGCCAGTAAGTTTGTGAGGATATCTGTGATCGTAGCTACCGTCTTTGAAAAGCTCTGATTGGTCTTCTGAAGTACACGGGAATTATATTTAGATTGTGATTTTCAACGCGTTTTGCCTAGTAGTAGTGTCGAGCCAACTTCATTTACAGCATAGGAATTTTTCTCGCCTAGAGAATGCCGAGAGAGCATTGTACATGGGAAAGCAAATGCCCACATTGTTGTTCGATGTTTGTTTGTTTGTTTGTTTGTTTGTTTTTACTGAATGAATTAATTACTCTCATTTCAATATTACTTTTATATCGGCATTACTTAATGATTATATTTGAAAAACTTTTTTTTTTTTTCAATCGAATGAGAGAGAAATTAATAAGTCAACGGCGATATAAATATCTATGTTGTTTTTCAGGAAGCCTTCAGAGCCGTACGACTGTACTTGTGAGTCTGACTTCGATATCGTTGAGCCCGCACCACCAGCATGCCCGGCCACGTTAAGAAGAGCACGGGTCCAGACCCCGACCCCACTGAATACCTCTTCATCTCTCGGGAGCAGAAGATGAAGGATCAGACGAAACCCTACGATCCTAAGAAGTCTTATTGGTGTCCTGACCCCAATGAGGGCTTCGTCGAGTGTGAGTTTCAGGCTCCTAAGGGTGATAAACTTGTCACAGTAAAGCTTCCCAGCGGCGAGACGAAGGACTTCAAGAAGGAGCAGGTCGGACAGGTCAACCCTCCCAAGTACGAGAAGTGTGAGGATGTGTCCAACCTGAC